GGGGGGGGGGGATCCTCCTACCATTCAGCCCAATAGCCTCCTGGCTAGGGCACCTGCCAAGTGAATAGAAGACCTGGTCTACCCCTCCCCTACAGGGGGTTTGAACTTGTCTCCCCCATTTCCTGGCCAAAGTGTTCAACCACCTGGCTATGAGGACCCGCCATCCAGCCCCCTTGCCCACTGCACCTTCCATTTAATATTAATTGGATCAAATGGCTCAACAGGAGTCAGACGGTTGGGGCCTAAACACAGCACAGCACCCATCTCACCAGGTTGCAGTCCCTCTGGCTAACTCTCCTCCTCCTGGCCCCACGTATTCCTGCCCCCCCCCACTGGTTGCCCAGTGGGCCAGCTTCAAAAGGGCTGGAAAACATCTTCAGTACTGCCTGGCCTATCTCTAGAGCACTTCGCTGGGAAACAGAAGTTGCAGATTCAAACCACCTTTGGGAGGAGAGAGGCCTAGAACATGGGTCTCCTGCTCCACAAATAAGCACCTTAATTACTGGTCTAAAAAGCAAGGCCCTCCTCCGGTAACAGAACACCCACTAGGCCCAATCCTTCTATGATTAAAAGTTTTGCAATTTACAGCATTAGGCATGTGCCCCAGGCACCGACATAGCCATAGTGCAACCTACTGAGCACGCTTGGAAGGGAAATACAGGGCAAACACAGCTATATGGAATCCAAACTGCGTGTAAGTGCCAAAAATCAGTTTCATGGCTACAGAAGTGCCCCTTCGGTCCAAGGAGAAATAGGATTTAGCCTGAAGTCTTACAGGGATGACAATTTTCAATCCAGCATGCATGAAGGACTAGGTACCAGGCAATTTTCGACTGTAATAACCCTCTCGGCAGCTAGCTGTCTGGAAGGACTCGACATTCAGATTGACTGCCTCACCCCCCAACTGGACTCTTAAAAGTTGTTTGGCCCTGCTAGTATTCATTGCCCCCCACTGCATTCACTTCAACATATGCTAGAATGGATGTGTTCATCCTGGGGTTGAAAGTAGAAAAAAAGGTCAATTTTCTGTACCATTATAAGCCAGTAAGTCAAAAGTGGTGCCACAGGCAGGACATATATACATTGTCTGGGCAGGCTTTTAAATACAGGTTCCCACCATAATTTTTCTTTTAAAATTCAAACATACTTCTGAACTGGAGATAGGTGTGTGTACTCTTCAGGGCACGAAGTACAGAAGACAACTTTTATTTAAATGATACGTTCACACTGACCATAAAAAGCCCAGATATCTAGGTAAGGCTTAGCATTCAATAAACATGTGATAAGATTAAAAAAACAAAAACCTTTCACTTCATGTGAAACTTTCAGTACTGATTTGCAAAGTATTGATTACTGGGGACTGCAAGGTTCTAAGGCTCCAAAACATAAAAATGCATTCACTGCAATGTGGCTCCTCTACCTTCTAAGACAGTGTTCACTAGCACTAACGAGTTTGATGCTAAAAAACTATGGGCTGGTTTATTATCACACTGAGTAGTACCTTACTTTCCTTTACCTTTGAGGTAAATAGGTACCAAGAAGGGCAAATTGCTAACACATGCAATGCAAATGGCTCAATACAGTCTCGAGTCAAACTAGCACCTTCTCTGTATGATTTTCAACATTAAAATCCCTGCCATTCTCCCCCCGGTTGGATTTCCACATTATGCTCTATATTAGTCTTCAAGATTTTGACAAGCCTAAAATAACCTACTCTTCACATCCTTTAATAAGGAAGTCTCATGATATCGTATTTGGCATTTGCTCCCTCCAAATGGTGAAAGGAGTTTTTAAAACCTGTGTTTTGTTCAGTTGGGGGTTTCTTTGCATTAAAGACTTCTTAAAAATTACAAGCATTTATTTTCATTAGATACAACTACAGGTTTTAGGTGACTTCTTTGTGTTTTTACATAGGTTCCTTTTTCAAGTTGGAAGTGAACATTTTTCTCTGCAAGGAACTACCAAACAACTTACACCTGTGGTTGCAGCATCTCCAGTTGGTTTTGGATATCCTTCTGTACCCTGGGATTGGCAGTGGCAGTAAGAGCCATCATAGGAACAGAGTGAAATTTCTTGCGGAGCATATTCAGTCGTTTATAGTCTGGTCGAAAATCGTGACCCCACTAGTTTAAAGAAGAAAATTAAACTTTTTACATTTTCCTGAATAAAATATTCCAGCTGTTCTGAACTTTTTTAGTATTGCAAAATATGAAGCAATAGATGCTTACCTGACTAACACAGTGTGCTTCATCAATAATAAAACGTGCCAGTAATCTCCTCTCATACAAATTTTCCAGGGCTGAGATCAGTCTGCCACTTGCACACACCTACATGCCAAAAAGAACATTGTTAACCAACATTAAACCATAACTGTCACCCTTTTTAAGAGGTTACTAGATTATAGATTCAGTAAAGAGAGTTTTTACATTTCATTCAGAAACACTTTAAAGCAGTCTTTAATAGCAGACACTCTTAGACTGAAATTGTCATGAACTCCACTGTGTAAACTAATGTGCAACTAAAAACTATCCTTCCCCTCGCCCCAACCCCGCCCCGCATGGTCAAAGCTCCTTTTCTGCAAGAAACTATAGAGATTCCCATAACTTCTGTGGCTAGTATCTAAAGAGCCATTTTCTGACAAACAGATGAAAAATGTGTCAATGAATCCGGAAAAGGTGAAGACAGACATATTCACTTACACTTTTCAGCTCTAGAAGTCTCCTCTCAGAAAGGCTATCCTGAAATAATCAAGATCACTTCCCATATGAATGTTTCCTAAACTAGGAAATTAATGTATCAGGATATTAACATTGATCTACAACCCATTACCTATGTGGTTGAAAAGCAAGTATTATTTTGCCCTCGGATCTCTCTCTCAAAATCATTACAAGAATTCAGACTTAAAAGAAAGGATAAAACTACTAGGTCCATTACACTTTTAACCATGTTACTCCATAGCAGACTCGCATGCATTCTGGAACACGACAACTACAGGTTTTAGGTTATACCAGTTTCATGGCTACGTAAGTGTCCCTTGCATGTGTCAGGGTGAAATGAACTTAGCCCTAGGTTTTACAGGGAGAACAATTTTCAATACAGCCTGCGTATGAGTGACTGGGCAATTTTCAACTATAATATACTTTCAGATCTCATCCCTTACCTGGTTACGTTTTCTTTTGGCTGTTCTTTGGTTCATATGAGTTACAATCAGAAAATGCCTGACAGAAACCTGTAAAGGTGCTGGTGTCTTATCTTTCCATAAGACTTTGTGCATTTCCTGGTAGAACTCTGCTGCATTCTTTTTTAATATGGCCATGTAAAAATAATCCTTAAAAACGAAACTAGTAAAATACTCTTTTGTTGCCTTGATAACTTTGCCTTTAAAATAAATACAAACCTTCTCTGGAGTAACATAGAGAAGTTTTATTACAGGATCCTTTTTTGACAGCTGCATATAAATTTTTGAAGCATCACCATCAGTCCTATCACCAGTCAGATATGTAGCAGAAATCTGCAACACAGAACAGAAATGGTTCTTTCAGATTTCTTTTGACATGTAACTAAATTAACAAGTACTTTCATTACATTGCACTAAATCTAGTTGTAAGTATTCATAATACTACTACTGAATGCAGAATATGAAGAAACACTGAAGATGTTAAATACAAATAAACACTTAAAACCTTGTCATTTAACATGTGCACAGGCCCTTTTCTAGTGGCAAGTGCAAGGGGCCAGGAATCAGAGCTCCTCTGTTTTGCTCCTAGGTTCATTAGTGAAGCCCTGGCAAATCTAGCAAGCCATAATTTTTTTTTTTTTTTTTTTTT